TGCCAAAGGAGACTCAGTCCTGGGCCTTTTTCTAAAAAAATGACTGGAGAGAGAAAGGAAGGAAAACTGCTTTGGTCACTGCTGCTGTTCCTAGTTCCTGGTGTGGGGTTCCCAGGGGCTGCCCCGGGGGAGGGTCTTTCCTGAGAGCCAAGCCCACCCCGGGGAGGGAGCCGAGGGAGGAGCGGTCACAGTGGACAGCCAGATGCGGCCACGCCTGTCGCATTGACTCCCGGACTTGTTAGTGTGGTGAGCGAACACTTTCCTTTTGCGGCTGGAACTCATGTCATCCCCGGAAGCTCAAGGGCGGAGGACACGGGTCCAGCTCCGGGCTCCGCCCCGTTCGGAGGGGGCATGCCTCCTGGCTGAGAGGGTTCAGCAAGAGGAAAGCATCTTCCAGTCAATCCCATGGTGCATATCTGCCACAATTTGTTTTTTAATATATTTTGTTTTTTAAATTTATTGATTTCAGAGAGGGAGAGGGAGAGAGAGATAGAAACATCAGTGGTGAGAGAGAATCATGGATCGGCTGCCTCCCGCACACCCCAGCCTGGCGATCGAGCCTGCAATCCGGGCCTGTGCCCGGACGGGGAATCAAACCGTGACCTCCTGGTTCCTAGGTCCATGCTCAGCCACGGAGCCACGCCGGCCGGGCCATCTGTTTATATTTGTGTTAGGATTGTATTTTATTGAGAAAAGGAAAAATGTCTGCTGGACACTGTGCTTCTTTGCAGGAGGGGGAGGGAGGGAGACACTGTACCATCTGGACTGTCAGAATGGAGATGAGAAGAACCAGCACCCCCTGTATTGGGGACTCGGCCACACGTGCCCGAAACACAAAATATGGTCACAGTTAAGCAAAAGCAAAAAGCTGGTTCCTCGCTGCAGCCCAGCCACCCTCACTGAGCACCTGCCATGGGCTCGGACTGGACCCAGGATGGTCCCTAGACTCATCCCAGGGGCTGGTGTCAGACAAGGCCAGGCTACCAGTTCGTTAGGAGCTGGCAGTGTCAGGCTCACCAAGCTCCATCCTCCCCCAGCCCCTGGGCCTCTGCACCCGCGGGTCCCCCGGAGGAGAACAGCCCGCTCTGACAGGGGGGCCTCCAGGTGTCGCTTCTTCCCAGCGGCCCCTCGCAAGCTGGCTGCCTGTTAGTGCCCAGTCCCCGCAGGAGGCGCTCAGGCCAGGTCTCCGGGCCAGGGATGCCGCGCAAACACACGCACGCCCATCCACATGCGGACCCCTTTCCCGGCCACAAGTGGGGGCACCTGCGGACGCCGACGGCTTGCAAACCCAGGGGGCCCGGGGCGCATAG